CTGCGCTGCAGGTGCAAACCGCTCCCTTGGAGCAAGGGCGGAATAGCTCAGATGTCGAAATCTCAGCAGAACTGGGAGCTGTGACCCCCGAGCCTCTCCCTTTTTCTGCATAAAAGCATTTTATTTTCCCTCTCCTAAGAATTGCCATTTTACCCCCGCCCCCAAGTAAGAAATATGAACCATCTGGCTGCAGACAGACACAACTGCCCGAATCTCACAGCCTGAAGCAGCAGCAGTGCCTGACCTTAGGCAAACTGCCCTTTCTTCTATACAGAGGATCTCCTTCCCTTGCAACGAGGGCTTACAGGTTTTCTGTAAAGCACTACATTTCTACTTGTATAAACAAGGCAGGGTGAAGACAGTAATGCCCCTTTCGCCTAGTTTTACAACCCTTGCATGTAAACTTTAATACGGTTTCCTCAAAATTACGCCCGACTCCCATGGGGCTTGTAACAGGCTGTCACAATTCCGCCGGGCAGCAGTGTGGAAACTGGGCCGCCTAGATTTTATCTGCAGTTTGGCCACTGGATTTCCAGTTTTGCTCAAGTTATTTTGTTTACCACAAAAGCACTTTGCAAAGGCTTAGCAAACTCTGCAAGCCAGGAGATCCTTACATGAAAAGCTCTCTATAAAAGGCCAAAATATGAAGAACATTTTCTCTCCAGTCTCTTAACCCAGCTGGCTTTGTTAAAACAAAAACCAACAAAAAAGAAAGTGGGAGATAATCCTGTCCCTTCCCAGGCAAGTAACTTGAAGTGTCCCCCACCAAGGCAGCTGCTGAGAGAAAGCGTGCTGTCAGCACAGAAGGAGGGAGGACAGCTTCCTTCACAGGAGGCTTTTATTAAAACTGGGTGACGTCTACAAGGATACAGTACAAAAAAACTTTTGGTCCATGGAAAAACCCATAATATTCAGTTAAGAAAAGCAGTTATTCTGCAACAGCTATGTTTGCCTACGCAGTACTCAGCATCCTTCATGTGTGATTACCCTGAGGAGTCAGTGGGCTGCTTCATCAGCACCAAGACCTTCACCCCAGTACCACAGAGGAGCCTTTTCATAAGGGGGCAAAGGAGAAGGGAAGTCGAGAGTCTATTACTCACAGACATGTAGTAACACAGACACAAGGAGTAGGGCCACCCAGGCTCCCAAATTCATAGCAACCTTCCCAACCACACCACAGCTGGGTGTGGGGATGAGGGGGGTTTGTCAGTAATACGATTTTGCAGCTATTCCAAGAGAATATGACCAACTTTCAAGTCCATTTGCATTACAGTCCCGAGCCGAAATACTGAGATCCGGGTTAAGAGAAGCCATTCTCTTAGTCCACTAGTAATTCATTCCATGAAGAGGCATCTGGGCTGCTACTCCCCACAGTAGAGAAAATCTACTTGTACATTCCTGAACCATGCTGGGCCTTATGGCAGCCCCGGAACCTAAAACTTGACTCAAAACCACAGGAGCTTCAGCATGGAAACACCTGCTAACTCATATGCTTGGAGCTACCTCCATTCCCAAGGACTGTCCTGTTACACCCTCAGATCCACACGAAGGAGCCTCTGGTCCCCACAGCAAGTGACACAGGATAACTGTCCCAAAGGAATGAGCCTACACCACTGCGCCACCACACAATTCCACCAGGCAGTTGCTGCATCCCCTCTCCCTGCTACAGGGAAAACAAGCAGCCAGACAGCTTGCTGGAGCCGCACGTGTAGGTCTTCTGAAGCGCAGGGAAGTCTCACCACTCCAATGCTTCCTTATCCCTGCAGTAAGCCAATGCCTCATCTCCCTTGTGATCCTGGCCTACGACAGTCTGTCAAAGAACATGAAGAGGACAGGGCAGGGAAAAAAAGGGACAAGGGAAGAAGCGATTCTCTACACAGTCCAATAACTTCCTCAAGGAGGAGAGTGGCCTATGACGCAGCCCAGGGCAGCAGCACCCTCCGAGCGAGGGAGTAAGGGCAGGGAGGTATGTCAGTTCGTGGCATCCTGCCCACTAGACCTCATGGCACTTTGCTATAAAACGAGGCAGGGAAGAGACTAGCCACAGAACTCTGCCCTCACAGCAGATCCAGGCTTCCCAGGCCCAGGTCTTGTGTGCCACAACTAGATGCTAGTTGGGGAGGAATGGGCTGTGGTTTCTGAACTTGAGAAAGGCTCCGAGTCAGCAGTCATACTGGCTACTGGGGACACTACAGGCAGTGCGGAGTCAAGGGGAGGCTCTCGGAAGCCTTGGGACTGACAAGGCAACAGTCAGGAAGAAAACCAGGTAGAAATGTGTGCTCATTGGAGCCTGTCTGCTTGCCACACCCCAGAAGACCCCAGGAGTCCTGGAGCTGCCCCAACAGGGACAATGCCAGGATGAATAATGATGCGGGCCTCGCTGCCGGAGTGGGATTGTGTGAGCCTTAACAGCGTACTCTGCAGCTCTCTGTCTCCACAAATAGCTGTGATGCCTTCTGGTTGGGGAGGAGCGGAGCAGCCTATGTGTTACGGATTCCCAGGGCCTGCTCCAATTCCTGCCGTCTTTGCTGCACCTGCAAGAGAAGCCAGAATCGCAGCATTAACATACCCAGATGACGCAGTGCCACCAGGTAACACAGGACCCAGCAGGAAAAGGGTGAACTCAAACTGGCACCAAGATGCATCAGCAGTGGCTACAATTGAAGCTTAGTACTTTCCAAGGAGTGACAGATACTCTGAGTCCCTGGGTATGGAGAAGGACCCCTGCTTGGGGATGCTCACCTTGGAGTAGAAGTATCTGCACACAGCTTCCTGAGCCCACGGCTGGAAGTAGAACTCGGCTCTACGCTCCTCTTCGGGATTCCCAACAACATCAGTCATTGTCTGGAGAGCACAAAGGACAAAACAGTTCAGGGACTGCAAAAGCTCTGGCTGCGCTGAGCAAACCCACACCCCCTCCCCTTTCCTCAAAGAAATTTCAGTACAGTCAGGTCAGGTTCTTGACTCCAAGTCTTGCCTTCCGAGCAGGAAATTGCCTGCCTCTCTCTGTGGGAGCTGGTTATAATGAGGGAAGCGTGTGACTGGATCCACCTTCCACAGAAGACAAAGCTTTTACCTTTAAATCCCGGCACTGGGACTGTAGCCAGTCGTTGATGAAGCCCTGAGGATCTCGGGCAAAGCTCAGCATGAACTCCCGCTGGGTCTTCAGCTGGTTAATTGTCTCTATTGTTTCATGAATCTGAAGGAGATAAGCACAGCAACTAAACTGCTGAACAGGGGAAAAAGACAGAAACATCAAGAGCCCCAACATATGCAGGTGAATTCTTACACTCCCTGGTTGACTCATACCCATCAGCTAGGATATTCAATTCGCAGTTTCCTGCTCTAAAAATTAACGATTTGCTTTCAAACTGCGCTCCCAGGTAAAGCCACTGGTTTGTAGGCATGGCTGACCCCACTCCAGCTTCCAAATGCACCCCAGAGCAAAGCTGAACTCCTGTCCCGTTTGGGGCTCACCTGCTCCAGAGACACATTCCTACCCAGCAAGGAGGAGGGCAGACCTGAAGAAGCTCTTCCTACCTTGTTATCCAGAGCAGCAATTTCCTGTTGACTGGCTGTGGAGAGCAGAAAGGAATTCATCTGAGTTTTCAAGGTATCATCCACCTCCACATCGATGTCATAGCAAGCTGTTTTCTTCTGGTCATTTGGGTCAACACTAGGGGCATCCACAAGAAAGAAGTCAAAATAAGTGAGTAGCTCAAAAAAGGACCAAATTGTAGCTCCTCTAGGAGGACGCAGCACGTGGACTGCAGGCAGGGACAAGCCACGCGAAGTGTTAGCTTCAGCTCTAACACCAAGCAGCAAAGCTCCACTCATGGCTTTGCAGCACCGAGGACCAAGCAGATTTCTATCCACAAATGTGTAATGCAAAGGGCAGCATGAACATAGGAGTGCTTTGTGGAAAAGAGAGATGTGGTAAACAGAAGAGGCGGCTGTTCTCCTACAAAGAAACAACGACAGGCAACACGGGAACTGCTGCTGAAAATCAGAACATACTGCATCGTCTTCCTGCGCCAGCCTTAACCATCCCTCCCACTCTTCTTCCTAGAAATAGGAAGTCACGTGGAGCAGTCTCACCTGATCACATGATTAATGATGATCGGTTCTGGGGGCATAAGCAATGCGTGAAGTCTTTGTGGGATTTCAGAGAACTTCATCCGCTGAGATTCAAATATCTGTGACAGAAACACAGGGCTAAGGAAAGGAATGGGAGCTTGGTGCCAGTGATCACTGGCTGCTGACAAAGAAAAGCTGAAAGTCGCTCGTTCCAGCCACGCTGTTACCTGCTGGAGGTATTTGTCACAGATGACATACTCCCGTTCGTGGGGGTCCTGGAGCTTGTGGGTCTTGATATATTGCCACAATGCCTGGATGATCACTGGACGGGTCTGAGTGTGAATCCCCAAGAGACGAGCCAAGCGGGGATCCAATTTGAACTGGGGAGGCTGAAACAAAAAGCACAGAAAGGTGAGATGGCCACAGACAGAGGTAACCGTACGTGCCCAGCGCTGTCACTCCCAACATCTTACCTGGTAATCCAGCATCAGAAGGACAGTACAGCGCACATTTACATCTCCTGGCCTCTTCACCTGGAAGCCATCTGTCTCCTGAGTTGTAGCAGTCCTGTGCCACTGGAACAGGAGAGGGCATTTAGAAACACCCTCACACTTGGTTCCCTTTGCTCCTGCTGTTTGGCACCCAATAAGTTTGCCAATAAATCCCAGCCACCTAGAGAAAGCTCATCTTATTCCCACTGACAGCTTGAAACAAGAGTTAATACGTTTATTCAGACCTCCAGCAAGTCATGAGGAAAAGCTAAGATCAGAATTCAAGAGCTCCCAGGCACTTGTTCAGGCCTTAAGTATCCCCACCTCTCAAGTTACAGGTGACATACAAACCCTGTCTGCTGAAACACCAACCCGTTTTTAGAGGTAACACAGCAAAAAGAAGCTCACCTCTACTAGGTGATTGTCAGGGCCATACAGGTCTTTATCAAGTTCAATGACCAGAGATTTAAAGAAGGAGGAGAACTTTCTTTTCTGCTTGGTGGCATCGTATTTGGACAAAGCAGACTGCAAGCAACACAGGAAGGAAAAGGGTTAGGACAGCGAGTCTCAGCACTCAAGCATAGCCACCGTGCACGACAGCATTCCTTTAAGTTCTGAACACCTAAATTCACCAACATGTGCTAGAAAATCAAGTTCCAAGTCAGAAAGTGAAAGACTGGAGTTAAAGATGAGCTTGCAGGAATTAAATCACTCAGCAATCACATACAATGCAAGTGCCCCGGTTCTCAGAGCCAGGCTGCACAAGCACCACTGATCTGCTCTCACCATTAATTCTTATAGCTATAAGAGCTTTGTATAACTCATGTCCTGCCATGGGGGTACCCATCGGTCTCCAAGTTGGGCTCTCGGTCTCGTCACCATCAGACTCCTTGGAAAACAGAGATGAAGGAGGATATCAAGCCCCTAGCTATGCTCTCAGACCCTAAGAAACTGGTTTCATTGCCAATTCCAGATCCATAAAGTCACCTCTGTGGTTGGGTATTTACTTACATCTTCCAGCAGCCGTCCTTCCACCCGAAGCTCCCAGGAGGCGACTGTTCCTTCACCATCCTCTGCATCCGACTTGGCTGGATTGAAGGTATTGGAGATAAAAATACGTAGCTTTCGTTTTTGCTAAGAGAAAAAGCATCGGCTCAGCGTTAATTCTGAAATAAAGGACTGACTCTCTTGCTTATGTTTTGCTAAAACGAAGCTTAATGTTTTTAGCTGCCTCATATTCCCCTTCTCCTGGGGCAGACAGCAAGAAAAGAGGCATTTCTGGTTCCACTCCTTGGTTTTGTCTGGAGCAACAAGATTTCTGACACACCGTGCTTACGGGGACACGACCCGAGCTTCAGCGCCCTCCCGCTGTCTTCACTAAAGTCAAAGCCTCCAAACCTTGCTTACGATAACCATGAACGCAGCCCTCCCCTACCTTAATGGGTCGCTTCAGAGCCTCCTGGATATCCAAGCGTTTCCTCATGATCGTCTGGTCCAATTTCCTCTCAAAGGCCAGCAAGTCCATGTAGGCCTGAGACTCGGGTACAAGTTCACGAATCTGCAGCCAATCAAGAACGCAAATCACCGTCAGCTTGCCCGCGCTCCTCCGGTTCACTTCGTATCAACACGGGCTGCAACCACATGTGCCACTCACCCTCTGAGGTAGAATTTTGTCAGCCATCTTCTTCTTTTTAGCGCTGTTAAGGAAGGAGACGCACACACAGGCATTAAAATGGCAACCACGTCGTGCAAATTAACTGTAGGCACTCAGGAAGGGAGCAAGACGACGGCTTATTCTCTGGTTTAGTACTGCGGCGTTAGTGCTGAGCTCAGCCATGACGCCGGGCTCTCATTTTCAGAGGCACTTATCGTTACCGTCAGCGCACGCGGAGTCAGGCCCCCCCCGTTCCCCGCAGCCCCTGCCAGGCCTCCAGCACCGCAGAGCTGACAAGCCCCGCAGCAGCGTGACCGACGACTGAGCACCTGAACCTTTCACATCCCCTGCGAGAGCTTAGAAAGTGGGGTGACATCGAGTTGGAAAGGGTGTCCTGCTGCAACGCCTAATCAAAGTGACTCTTTAGCCTCAATTAGCTTTAGATTGACTTTGCTAGGAGATGCATTTTAAATCAAGGGATGAATTACCAGCGTTGCTGGGGAATCATGTTATACTGCCACAAACGTTACATAAACTTGCTCTTGGCTACCAGCTGCACACCAAGGCTTTTATCTGCTGGAAGCTCCCCTCTCCCAGAGAAGGAGCTGCGCGAGAGGGCTGACAGCCCTTTCAGCCCCCCGGCAAAAAGGAGCCATGAGAAACCCAAGCGCGGGACGAAGGCAAAGCGCCCCGGACACGGCCAAACAGAAAAGCTTTGTGTTGCTAAGCGCAGCCCGCTGGTCGCACAGAGTCAGCGACCGACGCTTCCTGCTGCCCCGGCACAGTCCCCGCATCAGCTCTCCAATTGCGGGGGTGCCTGTCTGCACCCCCAAACCCAGCCTCTCCTCCTGGGGCCTTTGGGGAGGGAGGCAACGCATCTGTGCCCCCGCCTGGGGATGCCCTGAGATGTCCCGATGCCCAGGGACATCCCGATTACCCGGCAGGCCCCGGGATGCCCTGAGATGCCCCCCCTGCCCGGGGATGGCCCAGGATGCCCTGCGATGCCCCCCCTGCCCCGGGATGGTGGGGGATGCCCCCCTGCTCCGGGATGCCCTGAGATGCCTTGCAATACCCCCCCTGCCCTGGGATGCCCCACTGCCCTGCGACGCCCCCTCTGCCCCGGGATGGCCTGGGATGCCCTGCGATGCCCCGGGATGGCCTGGAATGCCCTGCGACACCCTCCCTGCCCCGGGACGCCCGGGGATGCCCCCCCTGCCCGGGGATGGCCCGGGATGCCCTGTGATACCCTCCCTGCCCGGGGACGCCCGGGGATGTCCCCCTGCCCCGGGATGGCCT